TAATGAAGAGTTCTACATAAGACAGCATTATCTTATTGCTACTTTAAATGTAAAAGTGGCTAAAATATTCAACTCTCTTTACATGTAATTGTTCTTACTTTGAGATGTGCATCCATTCTTTTTTTGTTTTCCATATAAAGTCTTGATTGGCAGAACTGGTCGTGGTGGCAAAGGTTGGGGATATAAAGAGAAATAGGACATGTGCTCTGTTCTTAAGGTGCTTGATCCAAACATACAATTTAAGTAGATGTGTTTTAAGGATAGAGATCTGTAGCTATCTGTGTTCACAAGATCCGGTTCTGTGTTGTGATAGATTATGTAGATTTTAGGAATGTGGGATGGTGTACTTGATTATTCAGTCTTATTTCCTCAATTATGAAGGATTTTTTTTTCTCTAAAGCATTATAAAAATAAATGAGAATCATACAAGTACAGATATTAGTAAAGCTCAACTATTTTATTAAAATAAGATAGACATGAATCCTGGAGCTAAATTTTATTTTCCCATTTCATTCAAAGTAATTAGACACCTAACTTGAACCAGTTTGCTTTGTAGCTTACTTGTGGACGTCTCTCCTCTCTCGATCCCTGCTTTTCCTCCCAGTTTGTCATGCCTCACGGCTTTATCTCCTACTTCATCCAACCTGAAGTGCATCATTTCTTTGACTCTGGAAAAGTCTGCCTCCTTCTGTTGCATCTGCCCTGAAATCCCCAAGCTGTGCTTGAATTCAGTCACCCACCTACTTCATTCCCACACCCAGCTTGCTGAACTCCACAGGTGCCCTGCAGCACCAGCAAGCATCTTGTTGCCGCTCCATGTAGGGCTTCCAGATGGAGCTGAGGGGTCAGTGCTGCTCACCACACCGTCCTCCCTTCCTGGGAGAAGACCTTCCAGAATTCTGCAGTCTCTAGGGCTCTTCTCCACTCATGCTTCTTGCTTTCAGCCAATGAACATATTTAAAAACTTCACAGAGAATGTGAGTTTTTCTGGTTTTCCCTCTTTACTTTTCTTTTCAGATATATGCATTAAGATTTGTGAAGTCACAAGTGCACACACTTTCTTGTCTCTAGTTTTATAGAAATTGTTCACCTCTTTTCTAAAGGTCTTATCCTTAAATTGGTGACATTGCTGCTGTCTTAGTTCCTGCCTTGGACTTTGTCTGACCAGCTACTCTTAACATCTGTCCCTCTTCCTCTTAACTGGCTCTTTCTGAATATACTAAAAATATATTCATATCTCTCACATTAAAAAAAAAAAACATGAAATCTCCCCCATCCATATGTTCTATTGAAGGAAAACCCCCAGCTCTCTCCTTCCTTGTTCTTACAGAAAGAGAAGTAAGTAATCCCTACCTCTATTTCAATACCTCTTTTGAGTGATTTTTAAACTTAGTGAAATCTGGATTTCAGGCCTACTGCTCCGCTCATACAAACCTACAAATTCAGTGTCATTTTTCAGTTCAGTTGATATTTGCACAACATATTTGCTTATTCAACAGCTTCCTTGGGATATACCTCAAGGACTCCAACAAGCACTCCCTAGGTTGAACCTTATAAACCTCTTCTTCCTGCTATCTGCTCTCTTAGTAAACAGTATCACCCAACATACAAGCCTACAAATCTGGGTGTCTTCTGATACTCCTCTGTCCCTCTCATGTCCTATGTTTAGATAGTTACCAAAGCCTTAGATCCCTTGCATGTATTCTGCTCCTTTATCTTCGTGACTACGGTTGTGCATAAATGGGTGCTATTTTTCACTGGGCTAGTGAGATAGATTTCAAACCTATTTTTATATTTCTTACAAGCTTTAAAAAAATTTTTTTAACTGCTCTCTCACAGCCTGGGATAAATCTAGTCTCCTTAGAATGGCATTAAAAGGCTCCCCTCCTGGTTTTGACCAAAGTCTAAATTATCTTTTGTCTTTTGCTTTGTTGGGCTGTGATGAGTCATAGAATCACCAGAGACTCTCTGATGAAAGCTATAGATGGTTTCTTTAGAAAATTGCATGTGCTTCCAAGCACAGAAGCTCATACTTTGTTGCAGTGATGTCGAGGGGGTTCACAGTCTCCCTCAGATCTGTCTGTGAATCTCACAGTCCAAACCAATCTCTCAGCACACTCTACAATACTTTCAGCAAGTCTGAGATACTTACATTTCCCATCCCCTTTTTTAAAATTTTATTATGTTATGTTAATCACCATACAGTACATCATTAGTTTTTGATGTAGTGTTCCATGATTCATTGTTTGCGTATAACACCCAGTGCTCCATTCAGTATGTGCCCTCTTTAATACCCATCACCAGGCTAACCCATCCTCCCACCCCCCACCCCTCTAGAACCCTCAGTTTGTTTCTCCTTAATGTCCTAGTTGATGGTCCCCTTCACACAACCCCTGGCTGCTCCATTCACTTGAGCAGAATAAAACCCACTCATCTTCTATCCATTAGCATAAGGTCACCTCTAGACCTGTCCTCATTCTGTCTTCACACATACAGGTCTGGGTTATTTTCTTCTTTGTGAATGGGTTATGTATGACCTCTATTAAAAGGTAACAAAATAACCTAGGGAAGACAGTCAAATTTAAAGTTCAAGAGCCTTGGAATTAGAATGACATGAGTTGAATGCATAGAAGAAATGGATATATTTGGTAAGCGGTGTAATGTCCCCTGACCCAACTTTGAGGAAGGAGAAATTTCTTCTCCCAAAGTAGTACCATTTCCAGCTTTATGATGGAACTGACACTTAAGTTGGTTTTAAAAACTACAAAGAATTTGGAAATGTGAAGATGTGAAGTAGAAAAGGTGAGTGAGGATTTTCAGACCCGAACATTTACTAAGCTGCTTTCCATTTTAGAAATTAGAAACTTGGTTGTATCATTAGATTTTTTATAGTACTATATATATCACAAGAATTTAACTTTCACGTAGTTCATGTGACTTTATTCCCTGACCTTTATCTTTATTTCTTACTAGAAGTTTACTTATTTGAAATTCATGCTGAGCTCATTTTTCCAGTTTTCTGCTAATTATATTTACTGATTTGTAAGATTTGAGACATTGGTTTATCAAAACTGTTTTTAGGAAATCTAATCCTATCGGAAACCCATTAGGAAAGTATTCAATGGGCTAACACCCTTGTGATTCACATTAGCATCTAAAGACTGAGAAGTTCTCAGAAGAAATTTCACTTGCTTAAGTCACTACTTCACAACTTAGTTGAGCATAGAACCCCCTTTTCCAAAAGAGCTGTTACTATCTGAAAGGACTATTTCTCCACACTTTGGGGAATTACAATGAAATATAAATATTCACCTGGTATGCGCTCTCTTTCCAAATAAAACTATTAAGCATCCAAGATAAGTTGTTTTACATTTTTATTCACATCTCAAAGATTCCAAAATACTCCTTAAATTAAAATACTTTTATCATAGGCTATATGTATGTTTCAAATATTTTTTATTAACCTGTTGTAAGAGAGCTATTTGAATATATTTTTAAAAAATCAAAATAGGGGTGCCTAGGTGGCTCAGTCAGGTAAACAGCTGACTTGATTTCGGCTCAGGTCATGATCTGCTCTCAGTGGGGAATGTGCTTCTCTTCCTCTGCTCATCCCCCCACTCGCCGCTTGCTCTCTTTCTTTCTCTAAAATAAATAAATAAATCTTAAAAAAAAAATTCAAAATAGTATCACAGATCTTTTGGAACCAAAAGGTTGGCTAAGTTTCAAATGGTTTTCTCCTTCACCACTCATTTGAGAAAACTAAAGCCTAGAGAAGTTTAAGAACTTTGTGAACATCACGGAGAGATTCTGTAGTAGAACCCAGACTTAAAATGGATGTCTTGAAAAAGATCCCAGTATTCTTTTGTTGCTTACTAATGCAATCCATTGCTGAATAATACATTTATAAATAATAAAACAGATCCTGCCTGTGATGACAGTTGAGATTTTTCATCACTTAGGGTTCGAAACAAAAACTAGATGGGTTTATGTAAATGTCCAATTTCAAATGCATCATCACAATGAAACATAGTTGAAATGATACTGACCTGAGAACAAAGGCTTTAACAATATTTAGAAATAAAATTTAATATTCAGAAGAAATGTTTTTAAAAGATCTAGTCTTTTGCAAATATTAACTCTATAAAATCCAAAGTGTAAAGTGGAGGAAAGATTCCTTTTATTCTTATTTGTTTGTTTAGTGTTTCATTTAATGAAATGTTTTCTTACAACATGAAATCACTCTTGGAGATCAAAGTCATTAGGAGAACACAGCAGATTGTGCCTATTAGTTGATTCTAACCACTTCTGTGGTTTAAGCATAAGTTGTTTTTCCAAGGCAGAGGCATTTCCGTCTGTTAGGAAATACAGACCTTTAAAATTTTTGTTACCACTATGGCATTGTATCATAGCTTCCTCCTTACTAACTTTGAAAAATTTAGGACATATCATGCTCTCAATCAACCACATAAAAATATATTTAAAAAAGAAAATGTATTCCATCCTCTTGTTATATTCTTATATGAAGTTACTTTTTTAAATTATAATTTAATTTTATTACTAAGCATGCCAGGCCATAATAACAGTTTTTGGGAACTGTCAAGGTATAAAGGTACATGTTTCTTTCTTTTTCCTTTTTTTTTTTTTTTAACTTAAAGTGAGTATTTGTGTGTATAAGAAAAACCTCTTTACTTCCAGGAAACACATCCAACATTTTCAAGATTAAGGAAATAACACACCACGTATGCTATTTTAATTAGACAATATTAAATGCGAACTAAAAGTCTGGTGGACTTAATTCCAACATGTCTGTAACTTTAACACCATGTGGAAAATTAATGTTGCAAAGTCAAATGTGGCAATAAAATATACAGAATAAGGTATATTTGCTAAAGAATAAGGTGTATTCATGAAGTTTATACTCATAATGTTGAACCATTAGTAAAAGTGTATTTTATGTTGATAATTAATATGTGTAAATTTTAAAATTTTCAATTTTTCAGATATTCTACTCTCCCCTGGCCCTCTTCGTACCACCTTCAGTATATGCTGTTCATCTTCAGTTCAATCTTCTCTACCAATTTTGGATCCACACAGAGGTAACTCTTTTTTATTTTTTTTAAGTTTTATACCTAAATAGTTAGCCTGAAGCAATGTCCTGGAAATCCACTAGCAGCTGATTTATTGTGTAAGAGAAATCTTTGTCTGCCTTCTTTAAGGAGAAACATCTGTTCATTTTTATTCCTTTTTATTGAATATATATTGCAAAGTTTATAAGAAGCAATGAGGCCAGTTGGTCTCAATTAAATAAAACAATTTTTTGAAATATGAAGTACCAAAACATTCTAATACTATATTCAATACAATATCTTCCTGTATTACAGTTTATTAAACATTGTTTACCAAAAGATGTTGAAATACATTTCAACTTAAAGATACAAATTTATATATATAAATTTTTAGATATTTATAAATATATGTAATTTTATATATTTAGTATGTTAATTATTATTTTATGCTATAATTTATATAATAACAAACAATATTTATGTGTCAATATCGACACATTTTAATATACATATTTACACATACATATATCAATCAGTGGGAACTCCTTGAAAAAAGTTTAATGCTTAAAAAATTTGTGAAAATATCGTTTGACTAGAAATCTTGCTTTAATTTTAGAGTTTAGGTTTTATTTAGAGAGTGTTCAATATGTTTAGGTTCCCCCCCACCAGAAAAATGAGCAAATATAATTTCTTGGGTTTTCTGTGGTATCTCAAATTGTCAGATTTGAATGTTTGCAGATAGATCATTAAGCAACTGATTGTTTTATGAACCTTGTACTGTTCTGGTTGTTAAATACCAAAAATCGCAGACCCAGAACAATTTTTACTTATACACATGAGACCCTCTCCAAGCATTTGGCGTTTGTTGGAAGCCTTTTGAAGTTCCGTAGGAAACATGTTGACAGGTGTTGCAGCTGGTTGAACAATACCGCAAATCACAGCGGCATTTGATACCAAAGCCTGATACAACAAAGTGTATTATTTCATTAATCTGCAGTATTTCATGCTACCGCTGTACTTGGAATAAAGAGACTGTTACTATGACTTTGGACATATGTGGCATTATTTGAAAACCTGTGTTGAAATAGCATTGCATTTTATGGCAGTTGACATACATCAAACAGTCAATAGGACAACCATCTGAAAGAGCTGTTGAGGCCAATTCTGACTGTAGAGGTCAAAGACCAAATTTGTTTAAATCAGTAGAGGAAAGCTTTCTGATGATTTACTTGGAGGGGTTAAAGGAGAATTACATTTTTATAGCAGCTCTGCTATAGGTCAAACCACGTGTTGGGTCAGAACAATGGTGCCTAAGTTACTTCCGCCTTTCCTGTGCCACTCTGAGAGGTCTGTGAGCTTGAGTTTCATTGCAGTATGTAGAGGGGCAGTGGGGGAAAGCCAGTGGTGAGACATCTCTTTAAGCTCAGGACCTCCAGGTGGCTTCATTTCCAAACTCAAAAGCAACGCATTACAACCTTTCACCTGTGTTGTCCTTCATATTTTTTTCATATTTTTGAAAGTATTATATCGTGTATAATGACTACAGTTGAGCTGCACAGGAAGCAAGAACACACTTTCTGCAATTGAGGTTTGGCTTTTGAAATTTTAAATTACATTATTAGATGTGAATACATTTATAAGATTATTTTTTTACAGGTATGCTTTTAATTAATTTATTATTATAGACAGCATACTACCACTTGTTTAAAATAACAGAATCATACAGGAAAGAGAACCAAGAGATTTTTAACAGTGGCTGTTTCTGGAGAGGGGGGTGAGTGGAATCAAGAACTGGAGTGGGGAGAGGACTTAACTTTTAAAAAAATTATTATTATGGTGTGCTTGCCCTAGTTTTTCAAAGTTTAATACACAGAAACCATACTCCATTCACAGAAACATTATTCCAGCCATGGTACACATAACAATGGTGGCCAAGGAGCCCCAAATGGTCCTGAATGGAGGTTTGATTCTTTCAGTTGTTTCATGGCTACTGACATCCATGAAATCAGTTTTCACTCTGAGGGGGATTTGGCTTTAAGGAGGTACTGATTTTTTCAGCGTGAAGACCGGTTCATTCACGTCATCAGTCAGGTTAGGATAAGAGAAAGTAAAAAAAAAAAAGCAAAACAGTAACAACATGCTTTTGAAAGATTGTATGTGAGAGAAAAAATAGATCCTAAAACAAACTAAAGAGTTTATAATAATAGTGTCCATCCCTTTCCTCTTTTCTGAAAGTTACAAAACCTTCTGCTATAAACTGTACTCTGTTCTTTAATTTTTGCCTCTGTTTTTGTTTATTGTTCATTCATCCAAAGTGTCTGCAACACGTAGTCAGTGACACTCTTTTCTTCTGAGTTCACTAAAGGCAAGTAGAAAAACTTATTATTTAATACATGTTTTAAAGTTAAGAGTTGTGGAATGTTGTCTTTTTTTTGCTTTTTTAGATGATATTTGGGTATTAGTTGATTAACACAGTATGATAGTCATAGTAACATTATCTAGTACCTTATCATTATCTGTTACCTTTGATTTACCATCATTGTTCATGTACATATCTGTTGATGTTTGTGCAAAGAAATATAAAAGAGAAATGACTCTTTGGTATTGAAGATTTGAACCCATATGATTCAAGGATTTTTATAGTGCTAAACTGAAGCCCCTAAATGGAATATGATGCAGTTACAAACAAAATGAGCAATCTTTTTCTGTACTAATATGGAGAGATACCCAAATAACAGTGTATAGTGTATGCTAATATTTATATTAAAAAAGGGAAAACAACTATATGTTTTATAGGTTCACAAATGCATGAAATGTTTCTAGAAGTACACATGGGTAGCCAACTCTTTTCCCAGGGGAGAGATATTTGGGATGACTAGGGAGAAGAATTAGAATGAGATATTAACATTAATTTAACCCATTCTAATGTGGGCAAGGAGCTCTCTCTTTGTGGTAATACTTCCCAAATAATAACAAAACATTGATGATGTTGTGCAGCATTCCATGTACTTATTGGGTATTGATGCATTTGATTTAATAAACTGCCTGTTCAAGCTTTTATTTTTTATTGAGTTGTTTGTCTAAGTGACTTGGAATTCTTTATAGATTCTGGATATAAATCACTGTCAGATATATGTATTTCAATTATAGTTCCCCATCCTATAGCATGCTTTTTATTTTCTTTTTGATTACTTTTGAAAAAAATATTGAATTTTGAAGTTTAGTTTATCTTTTTTTAATGGTTAGTTTAGGTGGGGGTTTTTTGTTTGCTTTTTGTATTTTCTCTAAGAACTCTTCGATTATTGTTTTTATGAATACCCACTTACTATTGCACCATTTAAGAATAGAAACTTTCTTTCAGCCATTAGATGACCTGAGTCCTTTGTTGAAAAGAAATTGACCGTATGTGATCGGCTCTAATTTTAGACTTCTATTCTCTTCCATTGATTTGTTTCCTCTTATACCAATCCCTCACATTATTGATTATTATAGCTTAATAGGAAGACTTGTTTGTACAAACGATAAAATAATTTGTTTAAAAATTCTCCAGGACTTTCTTATGGACAATTGTATAGTCTTTAAATAGACAGTTTTCTTTCTTTCTTTCCTTTATTTATGCCATATATTTCCCTCTGTCTCTCTCTCTCTCTCTCTTTCTTTCCCTTTTTTTTTTTTTTTTTTTTTTGCTTCATTGCTTAGAGTTCACAGAGAGTATATTTTAGGTCCAATTTTGAAACAAACAAACCTGGCCATTATTTCCTTACACATTGTATCTACACCTTTCTCTCTCTCTTCTCTTTGGACTAAAAATACATGTTTATTAGACTATTTGATATTGATTCATATCACAGTAATGCTCTCTAATTTTTTAAATTCCACTTTCTTATTTAGATTGGTTAATTTCTATTAATTTATCTTCAGGTTTAATTACCTTTTCACCTGCTCTCTCTAATGTACTTTTAAGCCCATTCAGTGGATTTCTCACATCAGATACTATGCCTTAAATTTTCAAATTTCCATTTTTATTTATAAATAGTTTTTGCTTCTCTGCTGAAAGTATCTGTCACTCATTATGGCTGTCTTTTCCTTTAAGTTTTAGCTTAAGTATTCTAAAATTCTCATCTGTTAATTCCAACATCTGAGTCATGTACAAGTCTACTTCAATTGACTTATTTTTCTTGTTATGGATCACGTTTTCCTTCTTCTCTGTCTAGTAAATTATTATTATTATTATTATATGCCCATCTCCATGGGCATATAATATACGTTTGTTGTAAGGATTAGGTTCTGTTATATTCTGTTTATAGAATTTGTTATATTCTATAGATTCTGTTATAGTCCTCTGACATTTTGTTATTTTTATTGTAGGAGGCAGTGAAATAATTAGCTAATTATCCTGCATTTTTGGAGGCTTTGATAGGACCTGCAACTTTTAGTATGGTCTTTAGTCCTGGTGCATATTTATTATCCTTGGTGGTCTTTAATTGGTGGCCTTTAATCTCAGGGCAAGAACTATCCTTTTTTTTTTTTAAGATTTTGTTTATTTATTTGAGAGAGAAACAAAGAGCACAAGCGGAGGGAGGGGCAGAGAGAGAAAGAGAGGAGAAGCAGACTCCCCGCTGAGCACGGAGCCTGAGGCAGTGCTCAAGGTGGGGCTCCCTGCTGCCAGGGCTAGACTGTGAGTGGGCTCAATTCCAGGACCCTGAGATCTTGACCTGAGACAAAGTCAGACGCTTAACTGACTGAGCCATCCAGGTGCCCCATATCTTCTTTGTTTTTTATGAAATTCCTGTGGTGTTTACAAAGCCACTTTAATTTAGTAGGATTTGCATTCTACTTTTTCTCTTATGAGCACCCCGCCGCAGTTGAGATCTTTGTTGGCAATTTTCTAGCTTTTTACCTACCTAGCTTTTCAGCAAGTTCCTTAGTACTTCTTCCTATGCATGAGTATTTGCATGAATATTTAAGAGTCAGCCAAGACTCTTAATTCAAGAGTCAGGAGACTCCTATGTGGATTGTGACTTCTCTCT